AGGATCCCACGGGCAGACTCACAAGCCCCTGAAACCTGCCCTAAAGAGAGGGTCTAGCCATACCACAAGCATCCAGGAAGGTACCACAGGTGAGCCCTTTCTGCCCCACCTCGGACGAAGCCTGAGCCACCACAGATGAATGAGGCGATAAGGTGTACGAGGGGGGGCTGCACCTTACCTTACCCCTGTCCAACTTGCCCCCCCATCTCGGGTTTGGAACACAGGCAACACGGAGTCAGCGGGCATTGCCCTCAGAAGCCTCTTCTGTGGCAGTCCACCTCAGGAGGCCTCTTCAGAAGTGAGTAGGCCAGATGCTCCCTTCCTGACTCTCCTCTTTGCCTGCCTCCTGCCCTCCTGTCTGCCCCTGCAGTTCCACCCCGCCCTTCACACCCCTCTCCCCATAACCTCAACTCCTTTCTGCTTTGGCTCTGACAAAGTTGGAAAAGTCGGAATCCTGTGAAAAACGCAAGCCGAAGCGGGTCCGAATCTCCCTGGCGGTACGTGTGCCCCTCTTCCTGCAGCTCGGGAGCAGCCGGCCGGGAGGGCTGGGGTCTAGGTGGGACAAACCTCTCAGAGCCAGGAGTACATCCACTTCCCTCCCTCCCTTCTCCTAGAGTGACTCCGACCTGGAAGGCGAGATGAGTCCTCAGGAGGTGAGATGCCGCTATAGACTCTAGACCGCTTCTTCCTGGGTGTGTTGTCAATCACAGGGGGAGGGGGCAAACCAGCCTTCAGAGAGCTGAGAGGAGCTCCCTCTCCCTGATCATCCGTCTCTTGCTGTCAGATCTTAGAGTGGGAAGAACAGCAACTAGATGAGCCTGTCAACTTCAGCGACTGCAAAATTGATCCTGCGCCCTTCCAGCTAGTGGAGCGGACTTCTTTGCACAAGGTAGGACAGGGTAGGTCTGGACTCAGACCCAGGTGTGATGGTGTCCGAGGAAGGCATGAGAGACAGTATATTCGATGCCGTTTTTAGAACATACTGCTCTAGGCCATGGGAGCCTGGGAGCTAGGACTCCTCAGCCTTGTCCTGTCCTTACTCCTTGGTGGAGCCAGGCATCGTTTCTCCTCCGCTCAGTCTTACCCCTGGGAACTCTGGACCAAAGCAACTACAAAGACACAGCTTGAACTGGGTGGAAGCCAGAAGGCCAAACCAGGGTCAGAGCTAGGCAGGAGGCTGCCAGAGCCCAACAAGGCTGATACACACCCATGCTGGAAAAAAGGGGGGGCGGAGGGAGTGAGAAACAGGCCAGATAAGAAAATCTAATAAACAGGCTAAGAAACAGTGAAGAAGGGTGAGGTGACTGCAGGAAGAGATAAACAAAGATGAGAGACACCAATAGGGGGCTTGGAATGTCAGACCCCAGAGAGTCAACTTCAAGCAGGTCAAAGAAAAACTGGTAGAGGAGTGTCAGAAAGACAGCTCAGCAGAGGGGGCACCAGGAAGAGGAAGAAGTACAGAGTGATGGAGGTAGGCGGTGTACACACTGGAGCAAGGCAGGGCGTCCCAAGGGACAAAAGTGACAGGTGTGGGTCAGTGGTCTCAAGGCTTCAGCTGTAACTGTTGCTAAAAAGTCAGCATAGTACATAGCTGAGGCCCTGATGGGTAGGCTAGGAGACAAAAGAGCAAAAATAAAGGAACTTCGAAGGAACTGCAGAGCGTTCACAGAGGAGAGGGAGCTAGGCCAGAAGACAGTCCAAGCTGTACTTCACAGCCTTTCTTCCCAAAATCGCCACAGTTTCCCAGTCGTCAGCCATCTTTTTCTTTTTCCTTTCTTGACACAGGATCTCATATAACCCAAGTAGGCCTCGAACTCACGACAGTCTGCCTGCCTTGGTCTCCCTGGAGATTTCAGGCACACACCATCATACCCAGCTGTGATCCCCTTGATTTTCTGTCATACATAATAGTGGTGAGAAGAACACAGGCAAGCCTGAGTGCTTGCTGTGTGCCAGGCACCACGCCAAGCTTCACCCGTCTAATTTATAGTTCTCGCAACCATACTAGCCGATAGGTATTATGACATTCCAGTTTTTATAGACGTCGAAATTACCCAAATGGACACATCAAGGAAGTAACAAAGTTGGGCCTGGACCCGGAGATAATCCGGCCCAAGAGCCTGTCTTAACCAGTCTAAAACAGGGAAAGGAAGCCAGGGCCCAGTTCCGGCCCTGCTCTCAGAATTCTTTCAGAAGGCCATGTTATCCTTTTCCCTGTCAGTGTAGTTCACTGTTCCCAGGCCCAAGAAACTTGGGCCCTCCAATGGGCTCCATGGTGTCCAACTGAATTAAAATGAAAAAGAACAAAGTAGGTGTTTGTTACAACTTCAGCTATCACAGGAAGGGAAGAAGCCGCCGAGGAACCACTAACAAAAGTACAAAGAACTGGAATAACATAAAAGATTAGAATTCTAGAGATTAGATTCTAAATGAGAATCTACTTATTAACAAAGCAGTAAGCAGTAACCCACTTAAACTGAGGAGGGATACTCTGAGAGGACGCGAACCCATGAGACAATTGAGGAAGCTCGCATTGGCAGCTAGCTACAGTGGGTAGCAATGAGGAGGCCGGAGTGCCAAGGTGAGGCAAGACTGGCAGCCCAAATCCTCCCTCCCTGCTGCGTCTAAGTTCAGCTGCATATGTTGAGCAAGTTGCTTAGCCTTTCTGTTTCCTTATCTATAGAGTAGGGGTGGCACAAGCTGAGTGTGGTGGTCTCTGCCTGTAATGTTAGCACTGAGGAGGTGGAGGAGCAGACCATCAGAGTCTTCTGTGAACTACACAGCAAGTTTACCTTACTTAGAAAAGAAAAGTTGGCAGGGCAGTGGTGGTGCATGCCTTGACTTCCAGCACTCAGGAGGCAGAGGCAGGCAGATCTCTGTGAGTTCAAGGCCATCCTGGTCTAAAGAGCGAGTTCCAGGACAGCCAGAGCTGTTACAGACAAACTGTCTTGAAAGACATGAATGAATGAATGAATGAATGAATGAATGAATGAGTGAATGAATGAACGAACGAACGAACGAACGAACAAGTGAAAAGTAAAGCCTGGAAGCTAGGCATGGCAGGATGGTAAGCTGGCAGGCCAGTCTGGGCTGACTTAAGAAGGGTTCTCATGGGCCATTCTAAGGATTACCGGGTGCTGCTCAAGTTTTAGAAAGCCATAGAATGTCAGAGTCCAGCTGGAGGGGGAGGCAGGAAGTAGGAAAACTCATTCTGCTGTTGTCTCAGCCCTGGTGGCGGTGCGGATCGGGAGCAGAACTAGGGAGAATGGCACAGATGTCCCAGAAGTAGAGCGGTAAGCTTGGCAATCGCCAGGCACAGGTTGTTCGCAGGCCTATAAAAGCACATTGCCTGCTAGGTCGCTGTGGTTGGGAACGAGCAGGAAAAGAACGTCCCAGGAACTGTTTAATGGGCTCCTCGGGAAAAGGTGAGATGGATTATTTGACCATACCTTATGGAAAGACAGGGAAATTAAGGCTCATCTGTAGCATGTAGGGTTCAAGTTATTTAACAAGATTGCTAACTACATGACTGTTGAAGAAACATGACTTCAAAAAATGGGGTCTCTCTTTTTTGTTTGTTTTTCGAGACAGCATTTCTCTGTGCAGCCATGGTTCCTGAAACTGGGTCTGTAGACCAGGCTGGCCTTGAACTCAGAGAGATCTGCCTCTGCCTCCTGAGTGCTGGGATTAAAGGCGCGCACCACCAGAAAACTGAATATCTAAGATGTACCACTATGGTGGCACACACCTAATAATAATACTAATATACACCTAAACCTAATACTTAGGAGGCTGAGGCAGGAGCAGTACTATGAGTTCAAGGCTAGCCTGGGCTAAGCAGTAAGACCTTCAAAAGAAACAAATCCGAATTCTACTGGAGCTACAGCTCAGTGGGTAGACATTTACCCAGCATGGATGATACTCTGGCTTTGATCTCAGAACCAAACACTGAGACCCTTGCTTCTTTATAAGTATGGTCATGCCCCAGGTGGGGGAAATAGGGAAATTTCCGTAAGCCCCTTCCCATCATTTTATTTAAGACAGTATTTAAGACGTGAGACATTAGGTGTTCAGGAAGCTGTTAGTACTGCCCATCTTGATTCACCTGTTAGGCCAAGAGGCTCCCAAGTACACCCAGAACAGAAGATAACAAATTCCAGGAAATGCTGAGAGCTGTTTTTGAGACAGCAAATGGGAACTGCTGATAATATAAAGGTGGAACATTTCCATGGCATTTCCCTCTGGCAGTGCCTCCCACTACTGTACCCCTTCTGTTCCACACCCTCCCCCCATTTTGCCCTGATCCCCTCTGACTGTTTCTGAGCTGCTCCTCTCCCTGTTCTGCAGACCCACACCATCTTCTCACTGCTGGGCGTGGACCACGCTTATGTCACCAGCATTGGCAGACTCATTGGAATTGTGACCCTAAAGGAGGTGAGGTGAAAGGACCAAAGCTACTTCCACTTCTAAATGGCTGCCCCCCCCAGGGGGGGAAGTCCTGGGGAGGGGTCTCAGCAGGGAACAGACACCTGACTCTTACCTTTCCAGCTCCGGAAGGCTATTGAGGGCTCTGTCACAGCACAGGGTGTAAAAGTCAGGCCACCCCTTGCCAGTTTCCGGGACAGTGCCACCAGCAGCAGCGACACAGAGACCACTGAAGTGCATGCGCTCTGGGGACCGCTATCCCGCCATGGCCTCCCACAAGAGGGCAGCCCTTCTGACAGTGATGACAAGTGCCAGTGACCCCTCACTGGATGGCCTATATTCCTTCTGCAAGCAGCAGCAACCGGAAGCTGAAACCCAAGTCCACTCTAGCTGTGGGCTGCCAGCTCCTCCATCTCCTGGCGGGCCTACCTGGAATGTAACTCAACACCTACCTGCTAGAGGATCAGCAGTGCCCTGGCAGGATGAGGTGGGGTCCTGTGGCCCTTGCCCACTCTTTGAGAAAGGGGCAGAACTAAAATGGGTTTATACTGGAACCTCCAATGACAAGATGTATATAGAAATTTACAAAGATTTTTATATTAATTTAATAAAACAATAAATAGAATAAAGTAAACACCTAATTAGCCACTCATGTATAGAACACTTGTGCTGTTGGCTCATGTTTTCCTCTTGGATCCTCTTACCTGCCCAAGCCTGAGACTTCAGTCCACAGCCACCTATCAACCCCAGCGTCCCAGCAATATAGTAGGATCTGCCAGAGGCCCCTGCTGCCTCATCTGCAACACCCTGCCTGGATCAGGCCCCTAACCCTGTGGCTACAACCTTCCTTTCTTTCAGCCAAGAAAAACCACTGCCCTCTTTCCCAAGGATAGCCACTCCCTCAGGACTGTCCATTCATTGGCACAGATCTCCTGGCTACCCAGGTGGCCCCCTTGTGGCACTCCCCGCTCTAACAGCCAGACCCATTCCTTTGTCCAGTTCCACCCTACTGAGAACTCTGTCTGTGCCCACAGGACCTTGCCATGCAGGGAGAGGGCCAGGGCTGAGGGGAGGGAGGGGCCTAGGAGAGGGGGAGGACACACCCTTTCGTCATTCCAGTGCCTCCCAGAGAAGATCGGCTCAAAGAACAGACCAGAAACCCCCTGTCTTTAGGGAAAAAAAAGGTTTAGAGACAATGGCAAGGTGAAGCACAGCGGGGCCCAGGTGGGTAAGGGGACCCTTAGGGGACGGCTCAATCCGTAGACTCCAGGAGGCCACGAGCCAGCCCCACAGGGGGAGGCGGTTCAGTCAAGCACTGCACGTGGACTTGGGTGAAGAGAGAAGCGGAGGAGAAGGGGCACGAGGAAGGGTGGAGGAGATGGCCAGGCTTCCTCCATTCCCACCCTCCCAGCGCAGGTTCACATCCCAGGAGGAAATGTGGCATTTTGGATTCAAGAAACATGAACGTCACTGTCTGCCACAGCTGTAGCCATGCCCCAGGGGTCCCGGGCAAGCCCCGGCAAACCCCCAAGAGTGGAAGCAGTACATGCGCCCCTAGCCTGGCCTCTGCCTCCTCTCCAAACACTTTCATGCAAAACACACAATGGAGAAGTGAGCGCTCCTAGAAGCCCTCGGAGCTCCAGAGCCCACACTTTGGCAGCAGAGGCTCTGCCCCGGGCAGCAGCCAGGGGAAACATGCCACCACCGGGCATGTCTGGATCACTGGTCCTCGGGCTCCACCTCATCCTCATCTAAGGATACGACCCCAGAGGAGGCCACATCAGAGACTTGCTGCTGCCTTTCCCAGCTGCTGCCAGGCAGCGGGCAGAGCAGCTGGCAGTCCTTGCACGAATCAGGCTCCTCCTCGTCGGTAGGGGAAAGGCAGGATTCCGTGAGCGGTGAACTGTAAAGTGAGTCCTGGGCCTCCAAAGGGCCCAGGCTGCGGAAGGCACTTTCCCGGCTGGGGGGCAGTCTGGCAAGGAGCAGCTCTTCACCCAACATCTGGGAGGCCATCCTGGCTGGGGAGCCCAGCAAGCCATCCTCCAGGCTGCACAGACTAGAGCACAGGGTATCTGGGGACACGGTCTGGGAACAGTCGCTCTCAGGCTCCACGGAGCCCTGGCGCACGGGCCGGGAGAACCGACGACCTGTGAAGAGGTCCTGGAGGTGGGGCCCCAGAGACCCAGCAATGTCTGTGAAGGGAAGAAAAAAGAGACAGCTTTGCCGACCTCATTTCAGATGGCCAATATGGAAGCCACATGACCACCACAGACTTCCCAGCCCCTTCCACCCTTATCGTAACTGTGGGGGCAAGGGGTCAACAGAGGCGTCAGTAGGAGCTGCATAACCTGAACAAGGTCTTCATTTTTGATGCCTTAGTTCCTTTCATGGTAGATTAGAAATTCTAATAATATTTACTTTATAGTCCTAAAGCAAGAGTTTGCACAGAGGCAAGCACTAGAGGCAGGCCCACTGTATGATCACACCGGGTGCTCATTACTCAAACAGTGAAGACCGCTTGACCTGTGCTCTGCTCACATAGGGCATCCCAAGCATGGGATTATGTCCACCAGAAAAGCTCTGCACAGGCTAGGCAGTGGTGGCGCACGCCTTTAATCCCAGCACAGAGGCGGGCAGATCTCTGTGAGTTTGAGACCAGCCAGGACAGGCCCCAAAGCTACAGAGAAACCCTGTCTTGAAAACAAAAAGATCTGCTCAAAGATTCCATACACACTAAGTAGCCTGAGCTATAGCGAGGCCCTTTCTCAAAAATTTTCCCAGAAAACAAAATTCAAAAACAGACAAAAAAAAAAAAAAAAAAGGAATCAGAAAATACTTGTGGTTGGGGGTTCCACCTTGGCCTTAAGCATTCAAATGAGTCCCCTCTGGACCACAGCACAGCTTCTTGCCTGCTTTAAATGAAGGTTTGGCCTTGAAAACCTTGTTAATTAGCTAGAGGAGGAGGAACCAATAGGTGATCTTCAAAGGCAAAGGGTTGGGAACTGGGGGCAGGGGTCCTGTGAAGCCAGACAGCAGAAGCTGCAGGGAAAGCTAGCCACAGAGTCCAGGGGATGGAAGATGAAAGCAGAGCTGAGCGCAGCTGCACAGCCCCCAGGGTTGCAAGCACTGGCCCAAAGCAAGACCCACACGCTGGAATACAAAGATGCTGAGCTGAAGCCAGAATCCTGCGGACTCCAGACCCAGCATGCCTTCCTGTTTGCTTGGGATCACTGCCCTGGGAGGTGTGGGTACTGTATTCATCCGTCCTGCCACAGCCAACCAAAGCCACCCTCAAAGAGGTAAAGGCAAGGATACCAGAGATCCTTCTGGAAGCATGGATGTACTAGGGGGGAGGGAAGAGGTCCTAGGTTCTCTGGGCTTGTTTCTTTAATCTGAGAACTGTAAGACCCACTACACACAGGGAGAGAGAAAAGCTGGTTCAGCACCCATAGAAAAGAGCCTTTCCGTTTCCACCGGCAGCCAGTGATCTTTGTCCTTGGGGTGTCAAGGTCAACCTAGGTAGTCTGTTTCTTATCGGGAAGGCACGCGGTGCCCTAGGAGGCTCAGAGTGCATCACCACACCTCCCAGGTGAGCCCACCCCACTGGCAGCACAGCACACAGAACGTTCCTCACCTGAGTCAGTTCCCCCAGTGAAGTCCTCGTCGTAGGAGTCATCGGTGGAGTCATCGCCATCCACAGAAGACCACGCTCGGAGCTTAGCTTCTGCAATAGCAAACTGCTCGGCCACTCCTACCAGAGAGACAGCATTCACTGGCATGGGAGCCGAGCTAAGACTAGGGCTTGCTTTGCAGACAGAAGATGTCCCTGAGGTCTCTGGGCAGAGGGAGGCATGTGATTCCAGCCCCGGTGCCAGCTCCAGTGACGGAGGCAGCAGCCCCTAAGGCAAATCTGCAGGACTAGTTCCCTTTCTGCTACCCACCTGCTGCAAAGCGAGCCTCTTGTTCACCCTCGCTGAGGTCTGAATAGGAGGAAAAGGCTGATTCCAGAGCTGCAGGTGAGTCACTGGGCTTGCTCCAGCCCTTCCATTCGATGAGGTGAGCCACGCGGCCCTGGGCCATGGCTGTGGGCTTGGTCACGTGGTCCTTCACCACCTGGGAAATACCTGGAGGTGGAAAAAGAGAAGTTGGGTTAAGACTAGGGAATAGCTTGCAGGGAAGTAGGTGAGGAGGCTTAGAATGTCTTTCCATGTATTTTGGGTAGGAAGAAGGGCTAGGATTGATGTTCTAAAATTATTTTTATTTTATGTGTACTGGTGTTTTGCCTACATGTATATCTGTGTGCGGGTGGTAGATCCTGGAGTTACAGAGCTGCCATGTGGGAGCTGGGAACTGAACCCAAGTCCTCTGCAAGAACAGTCAGTGCTCTTAACCACTGAGCCATCTCTCCAATACCAAAGAATCTCTGTCTCTCTCTCTCTTTGGTTCTTTGAGACAAGGTTTCTTTGTGTAGCCCTAGCTGTTCTAGAACTCGCTCTGTAGGCCAGGCTGGCCTCAAACTCAGATCTGCCTCAGATCACATGCAGAGGCGAGTGCTGGGATTAAAGGTGTGTGCCATCACTGCCCAGCTGGGCTAGGATTGATCTGCAAAAAGAAATCCCCCCAAAATGCCCTCAGGAAATAGTCACATAGGAATCAGTCCCACAAGACATGAGGAAAAGAAACAAGGAAGGACAAAGTGGGCGGATGAACAGATGTGGGGTGCATACCATGCAGGGACGATCTGGCCAGCGCAGCTATCTCCTGGATGGTTAGGGCTCTCCGGGACTTGGGCAGCATCGCGACTGTGTCTCCAACATTCACCTTGAGTAACACCATCAGAAGGTCAGTGCCCCTCTGACAGACATGACCTTCTTTCCAACGTGCTCCTGCCTATATATCAGCAGGAGCTGGGAGCTGGAAGAATGCAGGATTGCACGCCCAGCCTAGTGGCTAGTGGCATGCAGAAAAGGCTAAGAAGCCGGAGTCTGCCAACTGTCCTCCTAGGGAGCAGTGGAAACTCAAAGCCAAGGGAAGAGAACTACAGCCGAGCCTCCACTTTCCCAGGTCCCAGAAGGGAAGAAGACAGCTGAAGAACCATGAGTAGAGCCTCTGAAGACTGCTGGCGCACACATTTAATCCCAGCACTCAGGAAGCAAAGGCAGAGGGATCTCTGAGCTCGAGGCCAGGCTGCTCTACAGAGTGAGTTCCAGGACAGTCAGGGGTACAGAGAAACCCTGTCTAGAAAAAAAAAAAAAAAAAGACAGGAAAGGAAGGCATCCTTCCTTTTGCTAAGGCAAAGGCATCCTTAAGGTTCTTCCCGCTCCTCTCTCTGTTAGATATCTACGTCCCAGCTCTTTCTAGGTGGCCTACCAGAACCAAACATTCGGCATAACCAACTCCAAAACAAACATTCTCTTCCCCACATGAGGCTTGGCTTTCCAACTTCCCCCACATTCTCCATCTCCCTGGGATCTCTATCTCAGGATTACCATCATTGTCTCCTAAGCTTTGCCTGCACACATCTGCTCTTAAAACCTAGTGAGGGGCCAGGATGAAACCCAGTTGGTATGGGGCTTGCCTCCCAATCAGGAAGCATGGTGTCTGATCGCTAGCCTCTGATATCTGGTATATAACGCTTCCAGGTGCTGGGAGATGAAGGCAGGAGGAAGGATCAGAAGGTTAAGGTCATCCTTGGCTACCTAGCAAGTTGAGGTTAGCCTGAGCTACGTAAGACCCTATCTCAAAACAAAGTTATCACTGCCAACAACAACGAATCCATATGGATTATACCTCAAATCATTCCCCAACCCTGTTTCTGTCTTTTCTGTTCCTACCGATACTTCTCTTAAGCCCTTGGTGACCTTTCCCAGGTTAGCAGGGGTTCCCTAACCTTCCACACTACTTCAGCCCAGAAGTCTGCGTATAAAATCTCTTTTGTTCCCATAGCTGGTTTTTCTCAACTTTCCAGTGTTGACTGGAACATTACCCCCTCAGAGAAGCCTTTGTAGTTACTCAAATGGTGGTCTGTCCTCTAACTGTGGTCTCCAATTAATCATTGTTTTCTATCAATGTACCATTAACGGAGCCAGCTTGCCAGGTGTAAATATGATTTTCTTTGTTGGCCTTTGAGGAATTCAGTCTGTTATGGTCACTGCGTCATCCCAGTATTTAAACGTACCTGGGAATAAGTAAATGTATGGGCTGAATGAACAGACAAGGTATAAATGCAATTTCCCAAGAATACAGTCAATCAAAATGTCACTTCAGATTCTGTACAGAGATGCATGTGCTGCATGAAAATGCCATAATCAAAGCCAATAGTTTGTATGCTAAGTAAAATTTAATCTTAAAAATTGATTTTTGGTTGTGTGTGTTTTAGGGGAAAAAAAAAAAAACCTCTTTAGAGAGATGGAGAAACAACTCCATGGTTGAGAGCATTTGCTGCTCTTACAGAGGACCCAGGTGTGGTTCCCAACTTCCACGCCAGGCAGCTCACAACCACCTGCTAATCCAGCTCCAAGGAGATCCAACACCTCTAGGCTCCAGGACACATCCATAAGCAGACACATACACATAAAGATAATTTAATTTTTTTTTTTTTTTTGGTTTTTCGAGACAGGGTTTCTCTATGGCTTTGGAGCCTGTCCTGGAACTAGCACTGTAGACCAGGCTGGTCTCAAACTCACATAGATCTGCCTGCCTCTGCCTCCCGAGTGCTGGAAATTTTTAAAGATTTTTTTTTAAGAAATAATATTGTCTTTTCCAGGCTCTCCATCTGTTACTCAGGCACTTAAGGACTCCATAGGGAAGCCTCTGCCTCTCTCTGGACCTCCCTCAAATCCATCACTCATTTCTGACCAATACTATCCGGCTCCCCTGCCTTCCCTGTCAACAAGCAGCCTGCCTGCCTTCCGGGACGGGAACAAGCTTTTTAGACCAAGAGGGCCATCTTTGCCACGCAAAACGCGCCCTATCATTTAAGGCCACAAGTGTCACTTCATAATAGACTTACTTATTTTTCTTTGACACCCCCAGCCCCAGATGCGCGCTGCTCGATTCCATACTGCCTTTGTGGTGCTCCCAAGGGAGCAGGAGATGGCAGCGTCAGAGTTTAATCCATCCGGGCTCCTAACTCCATCCCGTACCTGATTTAATACTCCTCGACAAGCCCCAGCAAATGTTTTTCTTTGCTGAAAATAATTTATGCACACACCCCCTTCCCAGCATTACCTAATTCTTCTCCATCATGGTTGGTTCCACCTGGCACAAGAGGCCTCAGGCCCATCAGTCCGACCCTCTCCTTCAATACCTGGCTGACAGGGCCTCTAGATTGGTGCCGATAGCCTCTGGCCAGGCCTGTGGGAAGGAGAACCTGCCAGGTGTTTCCTGGCTTGCTCTCCCTCCCTTCCCTCGCTTCCCCCAGCCGCTGCCATCCATGCAGGGCGACGCTCCGCGCAGCTGCGGCCCTGGCCCAGAGAAAAGGTGTATATCTCCGTGGCAACCCATCACCATGCAACAGGGTCTCCCGGGATACGGCCTGGGATGCGCTGACGTCAGCACCGAAGGCGCTAGCAAGCCAGCCCGCTGGAACCAAGCCGAGCAGAGCAGACCGGCGCGGGGGCGGCCTGCCGGATAGCGCCTCCGCTTGCAGGAAAGAGTCCGAAGCAGGATGGTGAGGCAGGAACGGGGAGGGGTCACACGAACCCTAAATGTGAACCCCGCCCCCGGCACACACACACACACACACATACACGCACAGAAAAGGCCCAGCACCTCTGGCAAGTCCTGGCTGTCTACGGAAGAAGGACGAGGGGACCGGCTCCAGCCTCGGAGAGTCCGAGCAGATCCCAAGGAAGACAGAGAAAGACCTCGAGGGAGTTCGATCCACTCCACAGCCCAGGCAGGGTCCGAAGCCACTGAGGAGTTGGAGGAAAAGATGTCCATCTGGATTCCCCACTTCTCCCAAGATTCCCATTTTCATCATGTTGCCATGTCATTTTTTACCCCCTCCCCCTCTCCCAGACAATCTGAGGCCACCATGCCCCCCCAGAGCTCTGATTTGGGGCCCTTTTGTGGCAATCCAATGAACGCCTTCCTCTACAAATATTTTGCCATCAAAACATAAGGTGAAGCCCAAACGTGGTTAAATTCTGAATCTTCCGCATCTCTCAGCCTTTGGAAAGTACATGAAATTCTCCCACCAACACTGCCCATCTCTCACTCTCCTTCTCCCCTCTGACTCCCTTGGTTCTTTCCTCTCACCAACCTCAACTGCTCTATCACTATTCTTTCCCAACAAACCTGTCGGGTTTTTTTTTTTTTTTTAAGTTTTCACCCTTGTAAGCCATTTCCTAAAAGCCCCAGCCTGAATCTTCCTACTTCAGCCTGGTTCCCAATCTCTACACCACAGTGATTTTCCTCTCGGTATAGAATCTGGTGTGCCTTCCTCCTCAGCTTCCCATCACCTCCCAGATCGCATCCATCCACGGCCTCTGGTCTCACCTCTGCGACTTGTCTGACAAGTCCATCTTCCTCCAGGCCCTTCACGCTGCCACAAAAACATTTTGCCCAGCACAGAAATCATAGGCATGCTGGCTGTGTTGATGCAGAGAACCCAAAGCCCGAACTGCTTCAGGCTCAGCTCCCAGTTCTATTCTTGTTTTGGCTCCGGATGCTGAGCCAGTCCCCTCCCCACTTGGAACTTGTGCCTAGTCACATAAGGAGAACACTCCTGCCTGTCTCATAGCTTTAAGGAAGTGGGAGTGCCAGGGGCCTAGCCAAGTTCTCTGGGGCTTGTGGAGCTGCAGCTCATCCTTAGCTTACACGGTGCCCACTGGCCGTGTACTTAGCAACTAACCTTTTAACTGGAGCAGTCGGCTCTGTCCCTGAGCTTCAGTTGGGTAGTGGTCCCCAGAAATGCTACCAACCAGAAAGAAGACAGGTTACTGGCTATCCCTGACCCCCCCCCCCCTCGCTGGTACCTAATCAGGGCTCTCAAAGCTAGGCCTGAGGTCAGGCAAACTTTCCTGACTACAGAAGGGGATGACTTTCTGAACTCCAAGCAGACCAGGGAAATCACTACACCCTACTGCTTCTCAAATTCATAACCCACGAGGTTAATCCTGGGACTACAAATCCCAGAATTCATTAAGGGCAGTACAAATCCCAGCCCGAATTTAGTTGTAAAACACCTCAAATATCAACCACACCAATGCTTTGTGACTGACCATTCCTTGACATAGAAGTAAGGTAAGCTGGCAGACCTCAGACGCTGAGAGCTAAAGCAGGGCACCCACGTGTCTACAGGGAAACCACGGCCTGAGCAGAGGCCGGCTGTCTGGACCTTTCCCCGCAGAGTAAGGGAAATTTGGGTAGAGGGTTAATCGGAATAAAATGATCTGTGAGCACGAGGGATTTATCAGTTTGCTCACAGGTGCTCCACATGGGGCTTCAGTCCCCTTTAATCAGCCAGCCGGTTCTTAAGCCAGGAGCAAGTGTTAGGTTAAAAACTCCGTGGAAGGGTACTTGGCCAGTATTTGCAGGCTGACTCCTGAGGATGACAGCACTCAGCTGGGAGAGGCAGGTTCACAGCAAAGAGCCACTCCTAAGTGATGCGAGGTTGGTGTAGGCAGAGAGGAGTATGTAGATACAAAAGGCTAGCTGCCAGGAGCCAGGAAGGTGGTGGCCGCAGGTTGCCCAGCGAATCCTAGGCTGTGCCCCTGCAGCCGCCCTCAGCAGAAGGGATCCAGACGGAAGGTGAATATAGCACGGAAAAACCCAAAGGCAGGCCACAGAAACAAGCCGGAGTCGGTTAGCCCCCTCCCGGTTCGCTCATCTGGCCCGAACCGCCTCCCTGGCGCAGGCTCCTCCCTCTCCTATACCAGCCCCCTCCTCACGGCCCCTACCACCCACGGCCCCACCGGGCGGCTGTTGCCCGACTCCCTGTCCATGCTCCGGCCTCCGTCTCTTACCCTGACCGGCTGGGCGCCGAGAGCCAATATAGCCCATGGCAGAGCACCCAGGAACGCTAGCCCGCGCTTGGGACCCGGGCCATCGCCTTGCAGAGGGTCGGGCAGCGGTCACCACCAGGGAGGGGACAGCCTGTGAGAAGGGGAGGGGGTGGGAGCAGCGCGTCTGCTGCCGCTCCCGGGAGAGGGGAACAGGGCCGGTGACGTAAGCGCGGGGCCGTGCCCACCCAGAGCAGGCGGGGCAAGCATACGTCACAGCCACTCAGTAGCAGCCTAGGTCTTCAAACAGCCTGCATCTCCAGTCTACAGCGGAGCCACAGGAGGCAAAAGCCGGTAGGCCATGCGGTCATTTTACATAGGACATCCCCTTTATAACTTCTATAGCTGTAAGGGCCTCAAACTCAGGGCAAGAATCACCCTGGTAGCAGTACGTATTCTACAGCACTAATCTCCCATATGTCAAACCAGTAAGAGCCCAATCCTCCAAAAACAAAACAAAAACAACAAAAAAACCCACAAAACAAGCCCAATTCCTTGGGTCCACCCCCCCCCCCATCACTGACCAGGAAAGAGACAGGTACCAACACTGATATAATGCTAAGTCTGAAAAGAACGATGTCCATCTTTCCATACTCCTCCCAGGGAGCAGATCAGTAAAGAGGCAGTGAAATTAATTGAATTCATGTTTAATAATTACAGGCACCGTGCCCCCCCTTTCCCCTGCCCAGGCAGCAGCAGGGGTGGTGCAGGGGCTGGGGCATATGCCCCCAGCAGCGAGGACGGCAGTCCCAAGAGTGATTTCAGAAAATAAAAAAGGACCCTAGAGGCAGGCGGTAGTGCCCCTCCCCCCCGCAAAGACACACCAAATTTCAAGACTTTATATATATCTCTGTGCCCCGGGGGGAGGAGAGGGACACTTGGCAGCATCCTGGAGGGGGGCCCCAGGCAGCCCCAAGCCATCCTGCCTCATCAGTCACTTTATTAGCTCAGACACATAGCACTACAGGCACCCACTGCCACTGCCGCCACTGCTGCTGCCGCCCCCCTGCAGTCCAGGCGGCTGGCTGGCTGGGCCATCCACGTGTCCATGGCTCCAAGTCCCCGGCCCCACCCGCCATCAGTTGTGATCAGACTCCTCCTCAGCCTCACGAAGCCAATTGAAGAAGGCTGTGACAGACTTAAGGGCCACACCCTTGCCCTGCTGCTCAGCAGGGTCCTTGCTGCTCTCCCAGCTGTAGAAAGCGTCTTCCTTCACCACGTCCTCATCATACAGAGCATCAAAGAACATTCGAAGCAGGTCTGCAAGCCACAAAGACATCAATTAGGTGACTAGTCTGTACCCAGAGATCCCTCCCAAAGAGACACTGTAAAACTAAGCCCTGACCTACCATCCTGGTATCCGGAGTGACTAGGCCTGACAGAATGCTAATTTCATGACATAAAGAGGCTACCAGCATAAGAATGAGTTACTTGGCCAGCAGCAATCCTTAGGAACAGGCATGTAAGAGGGGAGAAAGGAAGGGGAGTGGGGGGAAAAAAAAAGGCATGTAACCCCAAAAAAGGCTGAGGCAGAAAGATCCAAGGATCAAAAGTTCAGGGCCAGTTCTAGTAGCTTAGCAAAACTGCCTGAAAACGGGGAAAAAATGAGGCCAGGTATGGTGGCGCACGCCTTTAGTCCTAAAACTCAGGAGGCAGAGGCAAGCAGATTTCTGCGTTTTAGGCTAGTATAGATTGTTCTAAACTAGCTAGTTCTACAGTGAGACCATATATTAAGAGAGAAAAAGGAAGGGGAAAGAATAATCAATTCTCCACTTTTTGGCTAACACCAAATGTAGAGTCCAAGGAGAGAAAAGAAAGGAAAAATGTAAGGTATGGGGTCCACAACTGCAATCTCATTACTTGGGATACAGGGGCAAGAGAGGTTCAAATGCTAAGGCAAGCCTAAACTACGTCACTAGTCTGAGGCCAGTCCAGATGACTTAAGATCCCATGATGACAAACACCCATGACCTCGCTCTGGCCTCTAGGGAGTGCTCACTGTCAGAGTTCACAGGTACTGCCTGAGCCTTGACTCTGGCCATCAAGAACACCTTCCTTGCCACTGTACACACAAGGACCCCATGTCCAGTACCATGACATCAGTAATGGCTTACCAGCTATGAGAAGCTAGGCCATTCCTCTGACCATTCCACCTGCTGTGGCACAGCTAACCCTTCACTTATCCCCACATTTGTACTCTAAAGCCCATGTACAATCTGAGGACCCTATGCAATTGCTCATCTACTTTGTCCTACATTTAAGCCCACATTTGTCTAATTTAAACATAAAAGTTATCTTTCGCTGGGTGGTGGTGGGGCATGCCTTTCAGTCCCCGCACTCAGGAGGCAGAGGCAGGCAGATCTCTGATTTTGAGGCCAGCCTGGTCAATAGTTCCAGGACAGACTCCAAAGCTACAGAGAAACCGTTTCAAAAAACCAAACAACAAAAGCTATCTAGCGATCTTTCACTATCCTATAGTCCAGTCAAATTTTTAGATAAGCTCCTACCAAACTCTGTAGCATTCATCATTTTCAAACACTTCCCTATACCAAATTCTTTCCTTTGCTCACACGGCCCTGCCCTATCTGTGTGTCTTCATTTCCCCAGTGTTCTTATTCCTCTTGAGGCAATCCCATTATCCTCAGCAGCACCTTTCTAAACAAAAAACCTTAGTCCTCTCCCACTGTAAAGTGGAATTAAACAACTAACTGACGATATTTTAAAGATACTTATGCTTCAAGTGCTGTTTTGGTGTTTTGTTTGTAGCCCTGACTGTCTTGCACTCACAGACCTACCTTTCTGTCTCCAGAAAGCCAGAGTGTTAGGGTGGGAATTCTCTGAAATAACCTAATCAGCAAAGGCAGGCCTCTGGTGTGAGGATCATGCTCAGCTAATCCTTTGCTTACAATCCTACAAAAAGCCTTATTTCACTCAAAGCAAAGCCCCTGCCACTACTTACATGGCCTGACGTACCTTCCCTGCCTCCAGTCCCTCTGTCACAACTAACTGCCTGTTCACTTCTAACACACAGTTACTGACTCGAGGCCAGCACAGAACTGTGCTCTATTTCCTCACGAGTTACCTAAACACCTGAACATACCCACGTGCTGAATTTATAAACCTCAGTCTTCCAGTGTGGACAAAGGACATAAACCCACAAAGGCGAGATAAGAAGGCAGGGTAAGCCAAGCGTTTCAGATCTGTGCCTGACACAGCGGTGCACCATGTCTGAAAGACACTGTTAACCACCTCTGTGCTGCTGTCGCCTGTAGGTCAGCACAAAGCCGACAGGACATCGAACCTCAAGGCTTAGATGAACTCATTCCATTTGCAGGCAAGAAAACGTGCATTGGGTAGGGTCATTTTGTTCTTTACCCACCTTTCTTAGGTTGAGTACCTTCCATGACCACCCTCTTCTATCTGGCAGTCCCTTGCCCCACCCATCCCTGCAGCCTGGCTCTTACTGGCAGGCTGTTCTAAGGTCACTACAAGGGCCTGGAGGGCGTAGAGTGCTTGTAGCTCCTTCTGTTCATCACACAAGTATTTCTGCAGCAGTCTCGCTCGCAGTTTCAACACTGTGACATCCACTCGGAGAGGAGACTCAACTACAGGGAAAAAGACAAGGATAAATGTAATAACTGCAGACTTCACCTGGCTTAGCCCCAGAAGGCCAAGATCAAAACCCCTCTCCCTCCATTTGCCTCTCCCTCGCTCCTTACAGATAATTGCAGAATGACAGACAGCCGTCATGAGGGCTCGAACTAATGTATTGGATGCTATCTGCTGCTCATTCAGGTTGGCCTGTGCAGAAAAACAAAGGCTCCTAAGTTCTAAATTATGCCTCCGAGTACCCATTCCTGTCACCTCCCAAAACATCCCATCTTAAAAACTACCTCTCTACTTCCCGTTTTCCAGGAGAAATATACCTCTATCCAGTCAAACACCCGCTGGTTACTGCAGCCCTCCTTCAGCAGCTTCTCCAGCTGCCTACGCAGCTCCTCAAAGGCAAGTGCCCTCTGGCCAGGAGCTTCAGACTCTTCTCCCAAGGTATATTCCACCTTCTAAAAGCAAATAACCAACAACCAAGGTCAAGCAAGACAACAGAGTAAAGAGGAAGAAAAGATGCGAAAAGCTAGCCCCAAATGCAGAACAAACTAGTCTCAAACCTGTTCAGTCACAAATGAATTAACGTCTTGGCCTTCTGCTAGAAATTCCCTCCAGCTCAGACCAGCCTCTCGCCACAGCATCCCCACCTTTTTGGGACCCTGAAAAACAAAAGAGCAATTCAGCATCTCAATAATATCTACCTCTACCCATGGCCTCTACCTCTGAGGACTCAACAGTCCTCAACAGTCATCTAAATATACCACACGGGTACTACCCTTCCATGTCTAAATCAAAAACATATCAAGCAATAGGAACTCACCCACCACCACAGTGGTGTGATATGAGAGGGAAAAGTCTCTAGTAAAAAAATTTCATTAGTAGGACTCTTAAAGAAATCACTAGGGGCTGGGGAGATGGCTCAGTGGTTAAGAGCTTTGCCTGCTCTTCCAAAGGTCCTGAGTTCAAGTCCCAACAACCACATGTGCTCACAACCATCTGTAATGAGATTTGGTGCCCTCGTCTGGCCTGCAGGGATACATGCAGGCAGAACACGGAATATATAATTAATAAATCTTTAAAAAAAAAAATCACTAGATCTCAAAAGGTAAACAAGCAAATCTATGTCTTACCCTGGTATATGCCTTATATATCACCTATATTCCTTTTCCCAAGCAGCTTTTATAAGTTTTTTTTTTGTTTGTTTTAAAGCATTTATTATTTTGTTAGACCTGGAGAGATGGCTCAGCAGTTAAGAACACTTGTTTGGGTCCCAGCACCCACATGGTGATTTCAAAGAAGAAAACAAACAAAAAATAACCGCTAGGAGGTAGTACCACACCAGGACAGCCACAGATACACCTGTTTAAAAAAAAAGAACTAGGAACTAACAGATGTGCCAATGAGTTTCCTGAGTTCAGAAAATCTTAGCAGCAATAGTTCAGAAAATCTTAGCAGCAATAACACCCTCACACCTCCCAAAAAGTCCCCTTGTGTTCCTTTCAAACTACACACCCCAACTTCTTTTTTTTTGTTTTTTGAGACAGGGTTTCTCTGTGGTTTTGGAGCCTGTCCTGGAACTAGCTCTTGTAGACCAGGCTGGTCTCGAAC